TCAAGTAGTATTCAAGAAAGTAGATAGGGCTAAAGTAACCCTGAGTTGTCTCCCAACGAACACGGAATTGCTTTTGAATATCTGACTCTTACGAATGCTATGCAATGCTTATGGATAAAAGTAATGTTTGGAGAATGTTTAAAGAACAAATAAGAAACTTAAAAACAGTTACGATGAAATAGGCTAATTCCACTACTTTTCCAAGATAGATTCATTATCGGTTATTCACGGATAATTGTTCAATTGATTATTGTTTAAGTTTCAAATTAATTAAAGTACATTCTTAATTAATTTGAGGGCGATCATGCATTTAACCAAAGTAAATTCTCAATCAAATGCAAAACCTTTCTAGATTATTCACAATAAATTCAACCAAAGCACATTTTCAATCAAATTCTATTGTGTTTAATCATGTTTATTCTTAAATCTCTTAACCAAGTTAAAAGTTAATCAATCAAAGTAAATTGTCAATTAATTATAGTTGAAATTATTACTACCAACCAAAGTTTTTTCTCAATTGATAGTAAAAACCATTTAATCATATGAAAGTTCCTAAATTAAATCAAAGTAGATTCTCAATTAAACCTAGAAACCCTAGAACTCATATAATCAATATGCATGTAGATTCAAACACATTATGATGCAAAAATCTTTACTTTTAACAAGATAGAGAGATGAAAGACATAGAGAGAGAACAACTTAAATCAATGATCAAAATAAACAATTGCATCAACTTAACGTAACCTCAGTATCCATAATGGAATTACAGCAGAATAGCCCTAGATGATTAGCTCTCCATGAATGGAGTTTAATACAAGATGAAAGAAAAGTGAGAGGAGTATGAGAGAATGAATGAATGAAGTGAAGTCGTTTTTCTGCCTCCCCTGGGTCTCTTTATATAGGGCTTAATTGGGCTTGAACTCTGAATATTCAGTTGATAGAGTCTTTTATCTTATATCTTCCAAACAACCAAAGATTTAGATAATTAAAACATTATTTGGAAGATATTTTCTGTTGATATTCCCAAATTAAATTAATTCAACAACTGAATTTTATCTTTTCTAACTTTATAAAATTGCACAAATACCCTGAAATTTCCTTTAATGCACTTTAGCCCCTTTAGAATTCTCAAAATTGCACAAAGGCCCCTGTTTGACCAGCTTTGACCAGATAGGTCGCGCCCAATAGAGGCCTACCACGTGGAATTCTCCCTTTCTCCCAAATTAGGGTTCAGATTGGGGAAAGGGCTTGCCCTTGCGCCGCGATGCTGTTGGAGAAGAAGCTCTTCTCCTTTCGGTGCACGATGGTGATGAGGATTAAATCGCTGTTTGATGGCGCTGTGGTGGCGGCCTGAAAGAGAAAGGCCATGGAGGCACGGTGATGATGATGAACTCACGAGGATGGGGGTGCGTCGCGATCAGGCAAGGTGGTTGCGGAGCGATTATGGATCTGTGTTTCTTTGCAGGTTGAATCGCGATGATGGTCTTCATGATTCTGGGTGGCTCTGCGAAAAGGATGGTTGACAGTGGTCCGGGGTTGTGCGACGCTAGGGAGAAGATGAAGATGGTGAGCGAGAAGCGTGGTGGCTGTCCGACGAGAAAGGATGACGATTTGGTGGTGGCGACATGTAGGAAGTGGTGTCGTCGTTAATGGCGTGATAAGGATGTCATTAAGGTTGATGGCGAAGCGGCGCGACGGCAGTTGACGGCTAGGGTTGGGAATTAGGGTTTCTCTGTTAGAGAGGATGATGATGTGGCAAGGGAGGTGATGTGGCGACATGTGGTTGGCTAGATCTGTGTGTGGAAGATTTGGACACGTGGCATGATCTGGTGGAGTTTGGCTTAGGAGTGGTATGGGTAAGGAAATTTAGGGGGTGTATTCCGAATAGGGTTACTGTTTGGCTTAGTGTTGAGCCTGGTTAAGAGAAGATGGGTGTATGTATAGAAATTGGGAGGTGCAAGGGTAAAGTCTGTCTGTTTCGCCCATTTGTATATTATTTTCCGAATAAAATTTGATTTTGGGCCTTGAATTGCCATTTGGACCAATAAAACTTATATTCTCAACTGCACAAATAAACGTAAGAATTTCCAAGAATAATTTATGCATATAAAATCACCTTTTAAGTCCCTTTTTATTCCCAAACCTAACAATTCCAATCATCACAAATTCACTTAAAATCAACCATTTAAACACAATTATCCCATCAAAATATTAATTTTAAAGCATAAATGTGGGCATAAATATGCACTCATCAATGGTCTTTGGTCCTTTTCTGTTTGTACTTTATTGGCTTATGGAGGTGCGAGGCGTTGTGTTGTGCTGGGTAGCACAATGATGTTCACGCATGGAGGAGATCGCGACGAAGGATTTCGGGATTTTAGAGTTTATGTGTTGTGCGAATTTGAGGGTTTTTCTTGATTTTGACTTGAGATTCTCGTTCTTTGTAGTGATTTTTGGGTGGCGCCATGGAGGTTGAATGAATTTGGTGAACGTCGCGATGAAGAAGATTCGTTTGGAGATTAGGGTTTTCCTTTTTCTGGGTTTGGTTTCAGTTTGCAAGTTGACGAAGATGGAGAATGAGCTCACAATTTGGTGCGAAGATGCTTGTGTGGTGGAAGGAGTCGACTGATCACGATTTTGGGGCTTGTTGTGGTTTTTTGGTTGCAGGTAGTTCACGAACATGCTTCACAATGGAGATTGGTGATCTGATTCGCGATTCTGTGGCGGCCTAAGCTCGAACAGTGTTTCTAGGTGGTTACAAGAAGCACTCCCAATGTTTAATTCATTCTTTCCAATTTACTTTTTATAAAATAAAATAAAATAGACACGTCAGAATCATGTAAACCAAGTAATGAAGTCCATGTCATTTAAAAATATACATCATCATGCCACGTTAATGGAAAATTAACGCCGTTGGGTCCAATTTAACTGCATGGGTGTAATTGTTGCAATTTTCACAAAATAAGGACCCAATTGAGACGCTGAAAAAGAAAAGGACCAATTTAAGATTCTCACCCCAAATAAGGACCTAGGGAATGATTAAATCAAATTTTTATTTAAATATAATATTTATAATTATATATAATTATAATATTTAGTAAATAAATTATTTATTTGAATGTAATAATAATTATATTAATTTTTAATATAATATTTTTTAAGAAAAAATCAACATCCATGCATACCAACGAATCTCAAAATAGTTTTCAAAATTCAAAATCTATTCTTGAAATTATTAAGAATGAAGATGAGTGATTATGAATCGGATTTTTCGAAATACAGTCTACATATCTAAATATATTTAATAAAATAAATTAATCTATAATCCATATTTATTTTAATTAGATTAATTATATTTGTATTTTTTAAATTTAATTTGAATTATATTAAATTTAAATTGAATTCACTTTGTTAATTAGATTAAATATAATAAGATTTATCTAATATACTTAACTATTAGGTCTTTGGTATATGAATTGGTTCGACTTAACTCAATCTTAGGTCTCAGTCGATTAAGATGAGCTAGGACAACCTTCGACCAAGTTGGCTTAAGTTAATATTTAATCGAGATTGACTTAACCAATATCAACTCAATCAATCTTTTATCGGGCGACTCAATCAACCTTTGATTCAGGTCGACTTAGCTCAACTTTTGGCCTAAGTCCACTAAACTTGACCTCCAACCCAGGATAACTCAATTTGACCTTTGATCAGGGCAAATTTGGTTTGACTTTTGGTCAAGTCAACTAAATTGACCTTCAAACTAGTTGACTCAACTTGACCTTTGACTGGGTCTTGGGTCAATAACCTTCAATCGAGCCAACTTGGTTTACCTTTAATTGGGGAAACTTGATCATCCTTCGATGGGGGCAACTTTGTTGGACCTTCGACTAGGGTCAACTAAGGCCAACCTTTGACTTTTGACCTTGTCCGATTTAGTTGGATTGATTTAGTTTACCGTAGATTTGGAGGACTCGGCTCAACTTTCGATCTTGATTGACATTTTAGCTTAGATTGACTCGATCACCCTTTGGTATAAACTGTTTGGGCTCAACCTTCGATCCAAGAGGACTTCATTGACTATCAGTTGGATCAACTCAATCAAATTTCAATCAAATTATATTAATCAATCTTAGGTCAAGATTGACTTGACTCGATCTTTAATCTGAACCAATTTGATAGACATTCGATTAGGTCCAAAGTCCACTTAATTAGGTCATCTTTTGAGATACTTTGGCTTAACTTAAACCCATCTTGATTTTAAATTTTCAAAATCTAAAAATAAAATTTAAATTTAAATTGATATAAACCGGATTTATCTCAAAATTTGGATATTTTTCCTCACCGATAATTGAGACATCATTAATATCTTTCTACCAAATTAATTCATCTATCTTTACTTAACGAGAGTTAAGTCAATCATAAAAATTAGTTTTTCTCGTACATTAATAAAAATTTGAATATTTACGAAGAGAAACAGTTCTATTTAGTGTTATGTAAAATAACATTACTTCAGGATATAAGTACAAAAGTCTGCACTTAAAGCTTTATTTTTTCCTATTTTTAGGAGATAAAATTATCGAGTAATTAAAGAATGTTTTGATGAATATAACAAACAATTAGGGGTAATTTTATGATAAAGACCAAGTTTTTCAAAACATTTCCATAAGAAACCAAATATAGTATGAATAGGAAGACAAATAAAACAATGTACTCTACGTATTATTCAATAAGATCAACTTATACTCAATTTAATTTTGAGAAACATTTGTCTAAAAATTAGCATGCAGACATCACTAAATTACATACAATACAAAGGTTCCTTGGAGGTCTATGTCTTTTCATTTAGTAAAACTAACTTAAAATAATAATAATAATAATAATAATAATAATAATAATAATAATAATAATAATAATAATAATAATAATAATATAATGTATTAAAAGGCACTGCTATTATTTGTGTAGCATGAACACGAAACATTTGAATGTATAAATATGATGTAGGTATGTTGGGAGGGTACAGAATGAGTAATTGGAGGACGCAAAGTCCTTCATTCAATCCATTTCCTGTTTCTCTTCAAACCCACTCCTTTTTCTTTTCTTCTCATTCTCAAATCTAATTAATTCAATTCCTCTCTCTTCTCCAACAACTTAGGGTTTCTTTTTTTCCAACAATGCCACGCATATTTCCCTAAATACCCTATTTTTTCCCCTTTTCTACTTAAGTTCAATTTCGCGACATGGATAGCGGTGCGTCCGCTCCGACGGCGCCGATTCCGAACGCCAACGCGCCGCCGCCATTTCTGAGCAAGACTTATGACATGGTGGAAGACCCTTCCACCGACGCGATCGTGTCATGGAGTGCAACCAACAACAGCTTCATCGTGTGGGACCCACCCGAATTTGCCAGGGACCTTTTGCCCAAATACTTCAAACACAACAACTTCTCCAGCTTCGTTAGACAGTTAAACACTTATGTGTGTTTCTCCCTTGTCTTTTCTCCTTCTCTTTATGTTCACTCCACTCTGCTAATAATAGTTGGTTGATTTAGATGATGTTGTGTTGTGTATTAGTATGATTCATAAGTTTGATGGTATTTAACTATTTGTTTGCTTATATATTATATGGAGGAGGGCTATGGTGGGATAAGGATTTGTGATTTTGTTTTGTGTATGAAAATAATGACAACAGTTTTGAGATCTTATCCTCCTTGTATCAGTAAATAGATGAAGCAGAAGATGAAAATAGACTGACAAAGCTGTTCTCAGGTTTATCAGTTACTATATTATTACTAGTTTAGTGATGAATTGTATATCAGGTGTCACGTATTGTGTGAAGGATAGACCTGTCACCTGACGAATTGTTGTGAAGAGGAATTTGGGGTCTACGAAAAGATTCTTGCTGTAAAGTTGTGATGATATCGACATATCGTACCATGGTTTGCTATTGTTTTTTATTCAATTACATTAAGCCTTTGTTGCCAGAGGCTGTTTTTATGTTTCTTTGTAGATACTTAATTTTTGTGTAAGCAGAAACTTTTGATACTTGATAGTGCTGTTATCAATTCAGTTTTTATAGGAAAAATCATAAAGATGACCAGAGGATTAGGATTTGTAAACAACAAGCCAGGCCTGGTTGATAATTGATTGCATTTAGGAAGATTGTGCAAACTTTGCAACTATATTGTGGATTTTATCAGTTGTCATAGAGGTAGGTCTGTGGGTTTGGGATAGTACGAAGATGTTGTATTCATATGAAGCACAAATACACCACTTGATTGAACTGTCACGGTTTTTCGATATGTTCTACATGTTAAACACTCCTCAATAGGTTCGCAATTAAAAAGAAAGAAAAGAATTGTCTGAAAAGACACTTTTGTTGACACTACTATGAGACTTGGATACTTTAGTCAATACTTCCATGTGAATGTTATGTTAAAAAACATTTTTCGAACTTTAGGAAATTCAACTTAGAGTATAATATGAACTATTAAAAAGTTGTATTCCTCTTGCTTTTTTGTGAGGCTTATTATCATAGAAAAAGTTGAGTATACAAGAATATGTAGATATTTTTTTTGTTAATTTCAATATTTGGTTATATTGTGGATATTTCATTTCATTTTAGTACATCTGTGTGCGTGATCAACCATATTACTTTTAAACTACTTGCAAATTTCTTATAATACGAGTATAGTGCTCTGTAGTGTATTGCTGAGTTAAGCATAATTTATCATATCAAAACACTAATGAGGCTTGAATCAGGGTTGCAGTAAGTTCTTTCCGGTCTTCCTGTTAACGTAGCAGGCTACCTGCCAGTGTATTTGGTTATTGTCGCTACTTCAGATTTTCTGAACTCCGTTGGAAAAGGAATGTTAATTTCATTTTAGTTTAGTTCCTTTCTTGAGATTCCCGATCTGTTTCACAAATAATTTATTCTTTTTGGTGGAGATTAGCTTTGTCATATTTAATTCCTGCAGAATTCTTGAAAAGGCTGAAGTTGTTGATACACGAGTTCTATTGCTTCTTATTGCAGAAATGAATGAGTTCAGTAGTAACTATTTAAAATAAGTTGTGTACATGAGACTGTCCCCAGCCTAATTGAGTAATTAAGTGGTAGACTTTTTGGCTGTAAAAGTGGTGTATATCCGTTGTGGGATTAGTAAAACATCTACATCTAGATTATCCCCTCACCGGGTTGAGAGTGTAGTATAACATTTCAGCTTTCATTTCAAGCTTGGTTCCAGTTGCTCTTGTGGAGGAAATCCTCATGATCATATTGAAAGTTAGATTTTTTCTTTCATGGTTAGACTTTCTTGCATCCTTGTGCTATATTGTTGTTGAATGTGCTTATCATCTAAATCTATTTTTTAGGTTTATCTATGCATACTTTACTGTTTTATATATCAATCAAGTTCCGTGCTTTTGTGGAGTGTGTTGACATCTGTCCTGTCTTTTTGTCTCTAACATCATCAATTGATTATCATTATCAGGGTTTCAGAAAGGTTGATCCAGATCGTTGGGAATTTGCAAATGAGGGTTTTTTGAGGGGTCAAAAGCACTTGCTTAGGAATATAACACGAAGAAAACCTGCCCATGGTCAAAATCATCAACAGGCTCAGCAACCCCATGGACAGAGTTCATCAGTAGGGGCATGTGTTGAAGTCGGAAAGTTTGGGCTTGAGGAAGAGGTTGAGAGGCTTAAAAGAGATAAGAATGTGCTCATGCAAGAGCTTGTGAGATTGAGGCAGCAGCAACAGACCACTGATAACCAGTTGCAAACAATGGTTCAGCGCCTTCAGGGAATGGAGCAACGACAGCAGCAAATGATGTCATTCCTTGCGAAAGCTGTTCAGAGCCCTGGATTCTTTGCTCAGTTTGTACAACAACAAAATGAGAGCAATAGGCGCATAAGTGAAGTCAACAAAAAGCGTAGGCTCAAGCAGGAAGGTATTGCAGAAACAGTGAGTGCTGCTACTCCAGATGGACAAATCGTTAAATATCAACCTCTGGCGAATGAAGCTGCAAAAGCCATGCTTAAGCAGATCATGAAATGGGATACTTCTCGTGTAGAATCTTTTAATAAAAACCCCGAGGAGTACATCATTGGTGATGCTTCATCATCTTCCAGTGGAATGGACAGTAGTGGCTCTTCAGGCTGGACTTCCGGAGTCACTCTTAAGGAGGTATCTCCAGCTTCGGTGCAGTCTTCACACGTTCCAGCTGCTACTGGCACCCAAGGGCATGTCCGCCCGACTGTTAAACCCGAAATTCCGTCTGTACCACAAGCAGTAGCTTCTGAAAATGTTACAAAGGATGGAGGACATGGTGTGCCTTCTATCCCCGTTTCTCAAGCAGATATGGTGATCCCTGATCTTCCTCCAATAACAGAGATGGTGACAGGAAATATGCTTGATATTCCCGAAGAAAATTATATGGCAACTGAATCGGATGAGGGATATATGGATCCTTCACTGGGCGATGCCGGGTCATTTCCCATTGATTTTGAGGTCATTTCACCTGATAACATTGATGATTTCTTAGGAAATCCTTCTATTTGGGATGAAATTTTGCAAACTCCAGTTCCAGAGGATATCGACACCAATATTGCCGATGTATCCAACGGGAATGAGGTCCAGTCAACGGAAAATGGATGGAGCAAAACTCAACGTATGGATCACCTTACAGAGCAGATGGGTCTTCTTTCTTCTGATACAAAACGAGTTTGATTATCTATGAAATTTATATTAATCTTTCATTTTGTCCAAGGCCTGACCCAAACAATACACGACTGTAGTGATGTCTATATTATATATAATTACACTCCCACTTGGTCACTGAAAGTCAATGTTTCTCGTTTGGTCGTCTATGGATTTAGTTTGTCCTGCATTTAAAGCAAAATCTAACTAACTATATCATATTTGCATTTACATTGATTTTTCATTTGCTTTGCGTTGAAAACAACTTACGGATTTATGGCCTTGTCGTGGACCACTTGGGGAGTGTTTCTGGTTATCTAATCAGTTTTTCCAATGTCATAGGCATTGGGTGAGGTTGAGTTATGTGAATTCATTAAGCTGCTTGCCGTTTGTTTCTTGGATTCTTATTTGTCCTCTCTATGGTTATGTTTCAGCTATTGGAAAATATAAGGAATGATATTGAAAACCATTAGTCACCACCGTTGGAAGAAATTGTTTATGATATAAGATGACTCGTAAAAGGAGTATGATTGAGTTGATTGCACATTTGAATTAACACTTATTTTAAGAAAAGAGAAATAAGGTTGGCCATAGTAAAATTAGTTCAACGGTTAATATTCATGTAATTGAATTGAGAATTTTTACACTTTGGTATAAGTTAATTGTAGTTTATAGATAACCGTTGATTTTTTATAAATGTTTATTTTGAAATTTATTAGAAAATCTTGATTTTTTATTTGTTAATTTGCTTATCATTTTTTTCACTTTAAATAAGCCAATTTTTATCACTTAACACAATATTCAAACACTTATGTAGTAGTTTGGTTCTATTCCTATTCATTTATTTATTTAAACCGTGTCTTGCAGTACATAAGGAAGAAAGGAGCAACCTTGTTGGACAAGTAAGTAATCACAAGATTTTTCCTACAGTCAGAAACATTAAAAAAATTTCATTTGGCTTTTCTGATATAAAGAAAATATTTTTTTATCAGCACACACATAACATTAGTCTCAAAAAGTCTATAATTGAATTCAGAATTAGTGACATGATATCTTTTAGATAGCAAATCAGAGTCAACAGTAATAATATTAGCTTCAAGTTTGGAAATAGATTCTAATGGTGTTTTTTCAGGGGTGTACTATTTGCAAGAAAAGAAATATGCGATAAAAGTGTAAATTTCAATTAATAAAATAATATTAAAACAGTAAAATCATAATTCACCCATCCTTTAAACTTTCTCTGCATTCTTGAGAAAAAAAAAATCTTTTTTTCGCAAAAACATAAACATCATTTTTTTTTTCAAGCTTATCTTTTAAACAATCGGATTATAAAAAATACAAGTTTTAAAAGCAAAATAATTCCTTTTAATGTTATGTCATAAACAATACTTTCAACTTCATGAAACTTATAAAAAAATAGATTTGTTATTAGTCATTTGAAATTAAATTATTCTTCTATAAAAATACCAATATAATATTCTTTTTTTTACAAAAGCATATTTTATTTCAAGTGTTTCCATAATTCAATAAGAATTTAAACATAACAAATTATTTCATAAATATTATCGTACAAAACACTTAAAATATCATGATATAAAATATCTTTATCATAAACATGCATTAAAGATAAAAGATATTAAAGCATTACTTAATATAATAGAAAAATCAATTAAAAAAAAATTTAAACTTAGATTTTTTAGGTTTAACTTAATCATATCCATCACAAACATATTATTAACATTATTTTTGACATTTTCAATAAAAGAAATAATGATGAATAAAATGAAAATAATATTTTTCTCTAAGAATATTAGAAAAAAATAACATATAAAACAAATATATAAATGAAAAGATATTCATCAAGCCAAACAATTCTTATAACAAAGGAGCGTATAGTTATAAATGAAGAAATATTAAAAAAAATTAGAACGAGACATAGAACAAAACCAAAATAATATGTATTTTTCTCTTAAAACATAATAATTAATTAGATTAATCAAATATAAGGAAGAATATCTAAACCTTATGGACACCAATGTTTTGAAAAATAATATATAATATAAGATTGAAAACACTTTGTTATTTTTGAAGTGTTTTGCTTGATACGAAAATGGATTATTATAGATAAAAAAATATATATATATATAAATAAATTATGATAAATCTATTAAATAAAATACTAATTCGTAATAAATTTGATAAAAATAAAATAAATAAAATTAAATTAAAAATATTTCATCTATATACAATAATTACTCATCACATTAATAATGTATAAAAACATTACTAACAACATAATTTATTTATTTTTCTTTTAAATTATATTAAATATTCCTAACATCATAATGGTTTCTCTCTTCCGATTCATCTCATTCTTATCAATTATATGTATGTTTGTTTTTAACATGATAAAGAATATTAACATTGTATTAATATATTTTATTCTCTTTTTTCTAATTACAACCTTTTTACCGTTTTCTTGATAAGGAGAATTAAGCAAACATGTTCTATTCAAGAGTATAGTGTAAGAAGAATTGTAGATATTTTAGATGGGAATTACGTGATAAACTTTTTTTACTTTTATCTCGTCACCAGTACCTGAGTTCACTTATATACGACATGCTTTTTTTAAGAGAAAAATTGATCTTTTATAAAAGCATTATAAAAAATTTCAATAAATGTAAGTATTTTTTCTTCGAATTTCCTATTAAATATATGATTGTATGCGTTTCTATTATATGTATTACAATTAATTGATTTAATAATAATTAATAAAGTAAAGTTAGAACATTAGTAAAGAAATATATTTTTTGTCTACGTAATAATTTTTTTTAGATGGATGTTATAAGAATATATATAAATTTTGAATCACTCGTAGAGTTTTTAGGCCGTGTTTCCTTATGTGGAATGATTTGAGGGAGAATAAGTGAATAGATTTAAGGAAATTTAAAAATAAAGTATGTGTTGTTTTTTTTAAGGAATTTAGAAATGATTGAAAGTGGATTTGAAAATAAAATTTGTAAAAGTTTGTGAAGTATTTGATTGATATGATAGATTAAAAAAAATTCAATATTTCAAAAATTTAAATTATCAAATTGTCCTTAATGATAATAATATTATAAAATGATATTTATAGGTAATATATATTTTGTAAAAGTTATTTGAAATAATATAATTAAAAAGGTTAATATATTATTATAACTACATATGTATGTAATAACACATAACACATGCAAAACATGTAAAAAAGTTTTGAAAGAAGAGGATTAAAAAAAAGGTTAGATTTGTAAAATCATATTTGAGACCTCAAATCTTTGCATGTATGGAAGGATACAATCCTCTCATCCATCACTAAATCTGCACTTCCAAATTCACGCTAATAAGTGGAAAAGAACAAGATACATTCATCCTTTCCCATCCTCATACATAGGAAATACTCAAATGCAAACAAGATCTTAAGGTTTTATTATAAACTCATAGGTAACTAAATACCTTCATTTTATTGATGATAAAATTAAACACAAGTTTTCCATTTAGAAAGAGATTATAACTCTATTTGAGATATCTCAAATAAAGAAGTGAGTTTGTTGAAAATCATGATATATAAAAATAATTTTTTAAGCACAAGCACACCATAAATAATAACAAAAGTTATAAATAAATATATAAGAAATTTATTGTGGTTGAACCTCTCAGGTTTATATCCACAAATACTAAAAAGAAATATTATTGAGGTAAATCTTTTTTGGAAAAAATTATAAACCTGCAAATTTTTTTAGACAAAATTGCTTTGTGTAATTTTTTTTTGAAAAAAATTACATGGTATATAATTGTTTTTAACAAAACTGAAATTTAGAGCTGTCAAAACGGGTAACCTCGCTCGACCCGGCCCAACCCACCATGGGTTGGTCACTTAGTGAGCCAACCCAACCCGACTCATTTATTAGCAAGTTGAAAAATTCGAACCTAACTTAATTATAAGATTTTTTAAAATAAAAAAATTAGAAATTTTTTTGATTCAAATCTAAATAAATTTCACTTTAAAATGATGTTAAACTCCAAAGACAATTAAAAACAAAAACAAATATCATACAATTCAAGCGTAATCCAAAAACAAGCACAAAAGCGAATAAGTTTTTAATATTGACAATTTATGTATCACTTGTTCATCTATAATATTAGAGTCTTGAATAGATAAATTATAATATTTTTCTCTTTTGAAACATCTTTTTTTTATCCCATCTACAATATAATAAAAAAAATGCTAACTAATAATATTAAAACACAAAATACTAAATCATTAAATTAAATTAGGTGGATTGGTGAGCCAACGGGTTCAACCCGCGTGAGCCGGATTGAAAACTAACCCGCATAAAAAAATAACATTTTTTTCAAACTCAACCCGACTCAAATCCGTGGTGAGTCAGGTTGACTCGCGGGTTACAACCCGTTTTGACAGCACTACTGAAATCCTTATTATGCAATATTTTTGAACAATTATAAATACAATTTTTCTAATGAAAATTGTAAACTTTATAATCACACACAACTATCAAAATTTTTCCTACACTCAGCTTACCTATTGAGTTAGGATTATTTTTTCAAATCAATTATATATTTTTATAATATCTTTTTTTATTTTTTATATTATTTTGTGTGGAATTTTCGTGACACTAGTAGGATTTAGAGTTAATATAATTTTAAAGTTTCTTGTATTATAGAGAAATAGATTTTTAGTTTATATGACTAATTTTGGTGTTGACAATACATCATATCTCTTTGGTATGACGAGTTACATTTTTTTTCTAAGGATTGATTTTTGCATAACTAAATACTAAAGTAGTTTTCGGAGAAGAATTAAAAATGTGGAAAAATTCACTAGAGCACTTTTGACTTTAAGCCACAATAAACTTGTCCACATGTAAAAAATGGTTGCTAACATAGAAAAGAACACAACTTTACAAACATGGTTTTAAGATTATAAAATCGCACGATTTAAAATTATAGATATTCTAAACCAAATTTAAATGTTATATTTAAAAAGTAACTAAATTTAAAAAGGTAGCATAAAATGCCTAAAATAAACTTAATAAATGTTATAATACCTTGACATGCTGACGTGGAGGTTACATTCATTTGACACGTTCCACGTCATTGTTTTGCAAAAAGAATTGTATAGTGAGTGAGGGTAAAATGAGAAAAAGCAAATTTTCGATCACTTTCCTTACGGTCCTCACTGTTCGAACACTCCAGTTAGGTTATTTTTCTCTTCCATTATTCTTTGATGTTCATTGCTGCCCTTTATTCCCATTTCTGTTGTTAAGTTGGTTCAATCGGTGGTTGTGGGGGGTTTTTGGAAGGTGTGAAAGTTTA